CCGCGGCGGGAAATTGATTTGACAACATAATACTCGATATTCACGATGTGGTCATTTACGACATCGCATGTAGTGCAATCCACGATGTATTGTGTAAACTCGATATATCGCCCAGCCCTACCCCGAGCACACACAAAGTCACAGCCGAAGTAAAAACAATAAGTGTGGCTTGATATGGAGTAAGAAAAAGGTTGATAAACGCTGTGAGAATGGGTCTGCAGAGAGAATTTCGCCGCGATCCCAACTGTCTGTTATCAGCCTGCAGCCAGGGAGGAGAGATCAGCAGAGCTGCATGCACTGAGTGTGTGTGAGGAAGTCCGTGGATTGGTCAATTTGGACCAATCAGCGGGGACTTAACGTAACGTAACGGCTCCACGGATTGGTCCATTTGGTTCCGGGTAACGCATGACATCATGAGTTACCCGGAAGAATCAATGGACAGCGACGTATCTCCAACGAGGCGTTTTGGGGAGGTATTTTCTGTTAGAGTTTTACTCGCTACAGGGTGTACTTTGAGGGTTTTGACTCTGCAGACCGTTTACATGCATAAAAACCTTCATAACACACAAGGGGACGGGTAATAACCGGAAAAGCATGACATGGGACCTTTAAGTATGTCACAAACCCCAGTGTTTCCCCTACCATTGTCTTGGCGGGGCGCTGCGCCCTGCCAACGGAGCCCCGCGCCCTGCCTGAAATTGAAGGTGTTTTTTATTTATTTAAAAATATATATATTTATAGCACCAAATTGCAACTGAAGTAATCTATCTACGATCACTTTTCGTAGATAGATTTTTCACTTTTCACATTTAATTTGATGTGCTCTTTTATTAAATAAACTAAACGCCTATGTTATTTATCCAATGTGTGTGCATGTTTCAGTGTCCACTGCTTTGCGTATTCACATTCTCCCTCCGCTCTGTTTCTGAAGGGCGGGGCACACGGGGTGTTACATAGCGATGTTATTTCGGCAATGGCTCAGTCAGTAAGGGGTTGGACTGTGAGCCGGTTCAAGTCCCCGCACAGACCTAAATATGGAGCGTGGACTGGCACTTGGAGAGGTCCCAGTTCACCTCCTGGGCCCTGCCGTGATGCCCTTGAGCAAGGCACCAGAGTCTTGGGATTATAGCCTTTGCAGACCATTTACATGCACAAAAACATATACAACACAATACAGGAAAGGGAAACCCAAAAGAACAGAATAGGGCCCCTTTAAGATGCGGTGCGGCATGTGTGAGGAGCAATGTTGTGTCTTGTGTGGAATCCTACTTGTTCATGAGGTCAAAGCCTTGATCGGAGAGCAGCGCTCCAAAGCGCTTTCGAAGGTTGTTGTAGGGATACTCTGTGAAAGTCATTTTTTTCACAGCGGGCAGCTCGTTGTAGCCGGGCCAGATCTTCTCGCTGGGTGACCCCAGATCCTGCAGACAGACAGACAACACACAGTCAGCAGAGGGCATGATGTTAGCGCGAGGGGAGATGGATATGAGATATTCCCATTTTTGGCAAAGGAATTCATCAACCACAGGCACGTGGCAATAAACCATTCCTAAGTGAATTTCAATGCTTTAATTCATAACTGGTAAAAAGTGTAGGATGACTTGGGAGGCCTCAATGACATCAGTCCAAAAGGCTGTCATGCTTTAAGCAGACCATAAGCAGGGACTGTCTCCTCCCTTAAACTCTGTGTGTATGTGCTGCAGACTGTAGAGAAAGCTCTCTGTGTTCAGCTGCCTGCACTTTTGTAGCTTCTACCTGATTCACTGTGGTTTGAAGTTGAGGTTCACTTTTGTTTTCCCGTTTTTGCTTTCACCCATCAGCCTTTTTTTACTTTAAGAGCAGTGTGTTACTGCTGATTCACACCAGACCTCCTGCTGTTCCAGCTTCCCATAAAAGTTTTCATTTTGCAAGCAGGTAGATTGTTTTTATGGGTAATTAGCGATGCTGTTCTTCAAGGAAAACAGGTCTTATAAACCAGACATGGTCATATTCTTCTGTATTAGGTCAGAGAACTAGTTATTAATATTGCAGGGATGAATAGCACAAACAGTCAGAGTCAGAATACCTTAATTTTCCCACAGAGGGGAAATGTACAAATATACGAGTAGCGGCAACATTGAAAAAGCAGCATACATCCTCACAGCATGGTTTGGTTTCACTACCTTTCCTGTATTATGAAAAAACCCTCTATGGTGACCTTTTTCAGGTTCAACAGCTCCACCCTGTGGCGCACAGCAGAACCCCACGCTCTGACAGCCGACACGCTCAAAAGATTTACAGTCTTTAAACAGAAGGGCTTTACCCTTCAGCGTGAGGATTTATTTCATTTTATGAGGGCAAATGAGGGCATTTTTACCTTAAATATCTTGTTAATTTGGTCGATTTCAGATTTTCCAGGGAAAAGAGGTTTCTGGGTGAGCAGCTCCCCAAATATGCAGCCCACTGACCACATGTCCACAGCTGTGGAGTACTCCTGTGGAGAGAAGAACAAACACAGTGGTAGACCGCAGAAACACAAAGTAGACAGTCTGCCTGGCCGGCTGCGGCGTCAGAGTTGTGTCTCGTGTGTGTGAGTGAGAATGGATGTGCTCTGACAGACTGCTGGACCTCGAGCGTCTGGTGGTGTAAATCAGGGGTTCCCAACCTTTATTGTGCCAAGGACCGGCAGATACATAAAAAAAAAATGGCGGACCGGTTGTCAATTTTAACTGATTTTAATATTTACTCACCAGCA